TAATCGGCTACTCTCCCACCCCTAGCAGCCACACAAGCTGGTTAAGACCTAACTCGCATGCAGCTCCTGAAGACACTAAACGGTGACTCTCAACTTCCAGCTCTTTCAGCTGAGGCTTCCATGCTAAAGGAGATGGCAGCCTCATCAGACCAAACCACGAGTAATCTGGTCTCAGCTTGATCTTAAGACTTTTTTGTTTTGTTTTTAAAGCAGCAGCCCTTGAGCACGGGCAATACACGGATTTCTCCAGCAGGGCCGATTCTGTCTGCATCTCGCAGCAGTTACTTACATGAAAATTGCCATCTGGGTGTTGTGGGCAGGGAGGTGATCTGTGCATGAGTGAATGGGAGGGGGGGTGTTCACATTATCTGAGGCTCTGCTCCCTGCCGTGGTTGTTCTGAGAAGCGCTTCTCTAGATCTCACTTGGACTGCAAAGCGGACTGGCCGGGGCCCATCATCCTGCTCGATTGGCTTCTAAGCACCGGGCGCTGGTTTTCCCCTTTCCCTAGATGTGTTTGTCTGTGGCGGATACGACGGAGAAGTGATCTTGGGAGACCTCTGGAAGCTAAATCTTCAAACTTTCCAGTGGGCGAAGCTACCAGCGGTCATGCCGGAGCCGGTTTATTTTCACTGTGCTGCTGTCACACCAGTAAGTGGCTGTTGTCTGTCTCTTCCCTATGTGCCTTGCTAGGCACAGCTTCATTCATTCACTCACTCGCTCATTCTGACTGGTACGTGGCTCTGAAATGTACATTCCCAGACCAGAGGTGACTGTTGCAAGCATCTAGTCTGATTTCTTATATAAAACACAGGCCAGAGCACTTTCCCAGCGTAATTCCTAGAGCAGAGCCCTTAGAAAAAAGCCCATCTTGATTGAAAAAGAGCTAGTGATGGCGAATCCCCCGCAGTCCTTGCTGCTGTGGTTAGTTCCTCTTCCAGTTAAAAATGGACACCTTTAGGGTACGTCTACACATCACCACGATTTTAGGATACTGAAGGTATCCCAAAATAGCTCCCCCACGTCTACACAAGCCACCCGTTACTTTGAAATATTTTTTTAAATAACGGGTGTGCTATTTCACCATCATAAACCTCGTTCCACGCAGGATAAGGGATGGCTCGAAATAGCGCATTGTTTTGAAATTTGGTGCTGTGTAGCCGTGCCAAATTTCAAAATAAGCTATTTCAAAATAGATTCAAAATAAGAGATAATTTGCAGGGGGCAAATTGCGTCTCTGATTTTGAGTTTAGGGTGCTGTGTAGACGCACCCTCATTTCCGCTCTCACCGTGTCTAGTCTCTTCTTCCAGACATTGGTGCATGTTATGCCTTTTGCCACTAGATGGAAGAGCCCACTGTCAAATGTGTTTCCCATGTAGGTATTTACAGACTGCGGCAAAGTCAGACTGTAGCCTGGCAGGATTCTCGCTTACGTAGCCATCGGCGTCAGTAAAGAACGTTTTCATTGGGCAGCCAGGGGGGGCTCTGCACATTGTCCCTCCCCCAGTGCCGACTCTTTAGCTCCCATTGGCTGGGCACCACAACCAATGGGAGCTGCAGGGGCGGCCCCTGCAGATGGGACAGTGCTCGGAGCAGCCTATGGGGGACATACCACTGCTTCTGGGAGCTGACGGGGAGCCTAAGGGCTGAGCTCCTGCCTCTGGAACAGGAATTGCCGAGTCCAGTGGTCTCTGGAGGCCACAGCATCTGGGATGCCGTCCTTCCAGAAAGCAGCACTGCTGTGCCCTCGTCTTCAGACTGCGTTAGCCCAAAGGAATGGTTCTTACAGGAACCCTTGTCACCTAGCTCAAGGAAAAACCAGCCTACTGCTAGGGATTTGCCCCTCTGAGGGATTGCAGGGAGCCCATGGTCAGCCGGGTGCCCAGATGTCTTGAGGGGTTGGTCACCTGGGTAAGCATCAGAAAGCAATCTCCAAGCCTGCTGGGCAGTGCAGGAGTAGGAATCCTGGTGGGTCAGTCATGGGAGCTGTTCCCAACTAGCTACTGCATAAGGAGGACTTGGCATCCTTTTAAATCGGAGCTTCTCAAACTGTGGGTTCGGACCTCAGAGTGGGTCGCCAGCCTGTTTTTAATGGGTTCACGGGGCTGGCTTAGACTTCCTGGGGGGAGGGCGGCTGAGGTTAACAGGCCCTCTGCTCTCTGGACTTCTGGCTTTTCTAACCCGTTGCTGTGTTTGTACAGTTCTCTTACATGCCTGACCCTTCTAGCTCGCCCCTCTCGCCAGCAGACATTGGTTCAGTAAAAGATAATTGGCTCCCCACCCCCTCAGCTTTGCCTTTGGCTTGTCCGTTGTAGGCCTGGTCCTGAGTCTTAGCCATAAATCCAAGTGGCTTGAGTGCAGAGGTGGGCAAAGGTCCGGCCTGTCAGACCTTGAAATCTGGCCTTCGAGCTTGGGCCAGAGAGCTGGGTTGGGAGCTTGCCCTGCTCTGTGGCTCCCAGAAGCAGTGACATGTCCCTCCTCCAGCTCCTATGCCTGGGGACTCTGCACATTGTCCCACTCCAAGTGCCAGCTTTATGGCTCCCATTGGCTGGGGACCACGGCCAATGGGAGCTGCAGGGGTAGCACCTGTGGATGGGGTGGTGCGCAGAGGCCTGGCTGCGCATCTGGGTAGGAGCGCGACCAGAGGGAGAGGAGGGGAATGCCGTAGCTTCTGGGAGCTGCACCCCTGAGGGCCCCCCACCCGCCCCTATGTGCTCCCTCCAGTCGAGCTGCTACCCAGAAGTGCACAGCTCTGCGCACCACCCCATCCACAGGTGCTACCCCTGCAGCTCCCATTGGTCGTGGTCCCCAGCCAATGGGAGCCTCAATCCCTTGCCCTGGCTCTGGTTCCCCTCCTGCCCAGCTCTAGCCAGAGCCCTCACCTGCTCCAGCATCCCCTCCTGCACGCCAGCCCCAATGTCATTAGCATTCATGGCCCGACGTTCAGTTTCTATGATGTGGCCCTCAGGCCCCGAAGCTAACCCGCCCCATTCTAGTAGGACATTTGGGAATGATTGCGGGAATAGGCTCCCCTCCTCACCTGTGGCTCATAAAGCTGCCCCCACATCCCCAAAAAAGGTCCCCTCCTCCTGGCTCTCTGTGCTGACCTGGGCAGGGGAGCCGTCCGGCGCAGCCATTAAATGCTTTCTGATGGCTCTTTCATGGCGTTGCTGTTCTGTGGCCGCAGCAGCGGTGTCCAGACCAGGCCTGGCACAGGGTCGGTTGTGCTCCCTCTGCTGGCTGATCAGGAGCAGAACATGTGAACTTTACATCCAAAAGTGTCCTTAATTGTACAGAGCAAACAGAAATATAGGGCTGGAAGGGCCCACGAGAGGTCATCAACTCCCGTCCTCTGCCCTCACGGCAGGACCAAGCACCATCTGCATCAACCCTGACAGATGTCTATCCAACCTGCTCTTATACACAGGGCTGCGGCCGGGGGCGGGGGGGCCGCCCGCCCCAGCCATTAAAGATGGTGTTGGCTGGCGGGAGCCTGATGTGGCCAAAAAGCCTCTAAATGGGTTTTCTTAAAGGGGCAGCACTTTTTTCTCGACGTCTTTTCCCTGGCTCTTTGTGCTGGATCCACTGATATCTAGGCTCTTTGCCCAGAATGAGTTTGCCGCCCCGACCCTGATGGCAGAGTGCCCCCTGTCCCCAAACCTCATCTCTGCAGGGTAGGGCTCGGAGAGGGCACACAGAGGCAGCGCAACAGTTCCTAAGACTTCTCAGCAGCCAGCTCTCGCGCTCTCACCCTTACCCAGCGTCTGGGCTTCACACGGCACAGTCACTGTACAGACGCACACTGTGTCTCTGGCGCTCTCTCTCACACGGCACACAGTCACTGTACAGACGCACATTGTGTCTCTGGCTCTCTCTCTGACGGCACACAGTCACTGTACAGACGCACACTGTGTCTCTGTCTCTCTCTCTGACGGCACACTGTCACTACACACACGCACTCTGTGTCTCTGGCTCTCTCTCACACGGCACACAGTCACTGTACAGACGCACACTGTGTCTCTGGCTCTGTCTCTCTCTCACACGGCACACAGTCACTGTACAGACGCACACTGTGTCTCTGGCTCTGTCTCTCTCTCACACGGCACACAGTCACTGTACAGACGCACACTGTGTCTCTGGCTCTGTCTCTCTCTCACACGGCACACAGTCACTGTACAGACGCACACTGTGTCTCTGGCTCTCTCACATACACTCCCAGTCTCTGTGCTGCACAATCGCACACACAATCTGTGTAAATCTGTGTGACATTCACTTGCATGAGAGCCTCTGTCACACACATACACACTCTATCTAGCTCCCTGGTGCCCAGCTCCTTCTGCGTGGGGTCCTGTCCCTCCCACCTGGGCCCAGAGCCAGCCCCTGGTGACTTCCTAAAATTGATGGAGTGCCCCCTCCTGCAAAAATTATTGCCCACCCCGACCTAGACCATCCCAGACAGGTCTGTGTTCAACCTGTTCTTGAAAACCTCCAACAGTGGGTATTCCACAGCCTCTAGTGCTTACCTAGTCAGATAGTTGACATGTTTTTCCCCATTCATCCTTGCTAAGTTCCCGCCAAGCTATGCAGCAGCCTCGCAAGGGCTGTGCAGGTGCTCTCGGTGGGAGTAGCTCCTCTTCCCTAGCCCCGGCTCCCAAGCTGCTGCGGCCCTGGGGAGATGCCTCTCCCGCAGGTGCTGCTGTGGGGAAAGAGAGTTGGGAGGAGTCCTCTCTCCCTGCCACAGCCAGCACCTCAAACCCCTCATCTACAGCCCCCCCTGAGAGCCTGCCCCCCAGCACCCCAGTCCTCTGCCTGAGCCCCCTCCCACACTCCGACCCCCTGAGTCCCACCCCATCTCTGTACGGGTGCACACACCATTCTTTCTGCGCCCGCCTGGGGAAATGAGGGGGACCGTTGCTGCCTTGCTTCACTGAGGCCACTGCTGCCTGTCCAGATGCTCGGTTCTCTCCACACGGAGCGGGCGGGGTTTGTCTGCGACGGGCCGGAGCGTCCGAAGTGTCCCGCTGCACCCAGTGCCTGGCGCGCTGCGTTCCGTGCGCCAGCGTGAGTAACGCTCCCTCTTGTCCTGTTTCCGCCCAGGCTGGCTGCATGTACGTCCACGGAGGGGTGGTCAACATCCATGAAAACAAACTGACTGGCTCCTTATTTAAGATGTGGCTGGTAGTCCCCAGCCTCCTGGAACTGGCCTGGGAGAAGCTGCTGGGATTCTTCCCTCATCTAACAACTCTCTCCAGATCGCAGCTTTTGCGCCTGGGCCTCACACAGGGACTCATTGAGCGATTGAAATGAGAGCTCCTTGCTGTCCTCTCCCTGTCCTAAAAGCACTAAAAAGACCCCCTGCCCCTTACGGATGTCGCTGCGGAGGAGAGGGGAGAACCCGGCGCGCAGCGCCTTACTCAGCAGATACAGCCCACGCCTTTCTGTGAATGTTTATGGAAATCAGATTTTTATTTATGGATCTCTACAAATACATTAGGCAGGAACTAAGATGCTGTTCAGAACTTGTTCATCACGGACAGCCACCAGCCTTTGTTTGCACGTGCCGGTAGCCTAATAAATTTGAGGGAGGGGCTTAGACATTGCGGCAGCTCCTGCTGACACACGGTGTTTAACTTATTGCTTCTAAAGGTGCATTTAACTCATTAGAAGATGCCCACGGCAGCCATTCAGCCACCTGTTGGACTGAAAGTTCCCCTTGGTGCCCAGCTGCATCCATGCTCTGAATGCCACAGTTGGCCCTGCCTCTGTATAGCTTTCACTGCCTGACGACTTGTGTGTGTGGTGGGCATACGAGCGTTGTCTTTGAGTTCTGGGAGGTGGCTGGGATGTGGCAGTAGCCGGTGAAAACGGCACAGGCCTTCTGAAACGTTGCTGCAGCACGCGGTGGTTTCAAGCGACAGTGTCACTGTTCCTTCCCTTTTCATATTGAAATGTCTGCCTGGAAGAGTGGTTACAAAATGGCCGCATACAGACTACTGTGTAGTTTTCTCTGAACAGGTGGTGGGAAGGAGCAGTGTGGTACTCGGAATCTTCTCCTTCCTGCCCTTGTAGCACTCTGAAAAAGCTGATAGAGGAAACGTACTATATCGATTTTAAAGCTGTCTGTAACCTTACGTATGTCATGCCCTCCATAATTCAGGGTCTTGCCCACCTGTGTCCCCTCCACCCACGTTCCATGAGTCTCCCCCCCCCCCCAGCCAGTGGAATTTTCTCTGGATTGCCTGTCCAATGCTTTGTTTTATTCCTTTTCTGTCTGGCTTTTTTTAACTTCTGTGAACCGATCCTTCCTCCCAAAATTAATGGCTTGTTTTTCACAGGAAACACCATGTGTTGTAAAACGTGGGGGAGAGGAATGGTTTGTTCGAAGAAGGCCAAGTTTCCCATGATCCCATAAAGTTTCTATACTGCCACAAGTTCTCATTCTCAGTGTTCTGTGCAAATTTATCTCTAAGGGTACGTCTAGACTACATGCCTCTGTCGCCAGAGGCATGTAGATTAGGCTACCAGACATAGGAAAATGAAGAGGTGATTTAATTTGTCGACCTCCCAGGTAAACCTCATCCCAGGAGGCATACCTGGGAGGTCGACAAATGCCTTTGATGTCGACCCCTGCGCATCCAGACTACCACACTGTGCCGACAAACAGCTGATCGGCACAGCGCGGCAGCCATTTAAATTTAAATGAAGCAGCGATTATTTAAATCGCCGCTTCATTTTCCTATGTCGGATAGCCTAATCTACATGCCTCTGGCGACAGAGGCATGTGGTCTAGATGTACCCTTGGTGGGGAGAGGAATGGTTTGTCTCGTATTTGCTGTGAACGCGGTTTGCCTTTCTACAGAAGCGGGAAGGGAGAAATGTTGACTTCTTTCTCTTCATGCTCCATGTCACTGTGAAACCAGCTCTAGTGAATGTACACAACTGGCCATCAAATGTGGAGCAACTTTGCGAAGACGTTGGGTTTGATCAAAACAATTGGATTTCTCAGACCATTTTTTGTTAAGTGCCTTTTTTAGTAGCTTTCCCAAATAACTTTCCCCCTCCAGTATCTTAACTCCAATATTAGAGTCTGCTTTTCTTTTAAGAGGTTGCAGTAGCGTTAAATACATCCCAGCAGCAAAACCCACAAGACTTACCTGAAGGCTGATGAATCTCTACAGCTACTGTTTTGTTCCCAGCTCTGCTGCTCACAATCTACCCAATCGCGCTCGTATTGGAGGACTTCCACAGTTTCCTTTGCAGATTCCCCCACCCCATCAATTTGGGTCCGTATTTCACTATAATTTAGCTTTCTTTCCTGGATTCGGTGGAATAAAGGATGTGGGAGCTTGTCAAATGTAAACATCTTTCAGTGCCTTGTAATTCAAACCCTGCTTGTTTGTTGTGTGATTTTTAATGCTGTTAATTGTGTCGTCTTGGGCCCCTTAAGTGTTGTTTAGCAGGAGGCAGTCAGCCGCAAGGAAAAACTAGATGTCTTCTGAGCCTGCAGGATGGCTGCCGATATCCACACAGAGACCTGCTTAAGACCTCCTGCATTGTTTCTCCTGAAGCCTAGCGTCACGGGATGGCCAGTGTGTTGGCCTCTCGGTCTCCAAGGTTTGTTCTAGTCTCATCCGTCTTCAGAGGAGGACCCTATGGCAGAAGGTCTCTGTGCCTGGATGTTTCACTTCACTTTCTGTCCTCTCTCTGGTACTAGTCTGAGCGGCAGCGGCTGAAGCGTCCACCCGCTGGCATTGCTGCATGCCGCTGTCTGACCTGAGCACCGGGTGAAGCCGGATGTCCGGGATCAGTGGACAGACAATCCCATCAGTATCTAGCCGTACAGGTGGCTGTTTGTAGCCCTCCTTCTTAAGATGTCTAGCTGGTGAGCCCTCAGCTCCTGGGCTTGCAGGCCCTGTTCAGAGACCGAGGCTGCAGTACAGGAGAGCTCCCCCAGATGTGTGAAGCTCTTCTCCTAGCTCCACTTCCAGAAAACACTCCGGAGGACTGACTCGATGCTTCCCTCTCTCTGAGCTGGTCCCTTTGGCCTTATTCTGGTGGCTCCCCTCTGCCCTTGCAAAGATTCCACAGCTGCACCAAGCCTTAGGGTCTCCTGTTGGACCAGGAACATCGTGTAGCACAAGCAAGCGCGGGCTCTTCCTTCCCGTGTCTCCAGTGTGTGTTAGCCTGGTGCGCGCGCCCACTCTTCCAGCAATCCCGAAGGTAGCGGTAAAAGGGCTGGAGGGGACCTGTGTGCTCGCACGCGCCTGCTCTACGCACGCAGGTCTCTTGTCCGCTTAATGGGCTCTGCGTTACGTTGGCCTTCTGAAGGATGCTCGTGATGTGACTTGCCTTGCTCATGCTGTTCCCGGCTCGGGAGGCAACACAAGCTCATCCCTGCCTCTTGCAGTCTTCGTAATGGACTTTCACTCCTGCAGAGTCCTATTGCCGGTCTCTAAGTGCCAGTCAAGGTGGCCGGCCTCCGTGCTGTTTGGTGAGGCTAGGCTAGGTCCCTGTGCACCTTGAAACTTGGGCTCATGTTTGCTTTACCTCTTCTACATTAGCACCTGGAGCTACAGCTAAGCATCCTCCCCTCCCAGTGACTTCCAGGGAAGTTGGATCCTGCTATGAACATCAAGAATCAAGCTCATTTCAGCCTGTCCATCATAGACTGATGGTTTCTCCGCATCACCTGATGCCTCGAAGTGAAGTGAGGCAACAACCATCCTCCACTTGGACACGAGTCTCCTCTGAGCTGCAGAAATTGGAGATCCGTGGTAGGACTGTCCTTTCCTGTGGGCTTTGAAAGGGATTGTAAATAGAAATACTCTGTATGGCTGCTGGGGTTTTGGATCCGAAGGGAAAGGATTATGCCAAGTTACTTAATCTGCCGGATCGAAGATTTGAAGTGTGGCAAAACTAGCTACAGTCTGCAGAGAAACCTTGTTTCCTCGTAATGTTCCAACCACAGTTATTTTACTATTTCAAAACGAGCAGCTTCAGCTACATTTTCTTTTTCCTCTTATTGGTGTTTGTCAGTAGAAAAAACCTCCTTTTCCATGGGCCTGTAACTCAACGGAACAGGGTCTCTTCCCACCTTCCATGCCTCATCTGCAAACTAAGTCTGTAAAGTTTGCCTGCCTGCCTGCACAGTCTTGGAAGTCTTGTACTTTGTAACCACAGATCCATAGTTCTTACCTCTCCAGGGTGCTGTTCCCCTGCACTCACTGTGCTTCAGAATGCTGCCTGAAACAGCTGACTCCATTCTGGGACAATTACAGACTCTCTATTTAGCTGCCAAGCTGAGAGTTCAAGAACTCTCACCCCTTCCCAAAGACTGTTTTGCTCTCTGTTGTGCTTCTGAGGCCATGCTTGTTTGCACCAGGGCTTTCTGGTGCAGCTGGAAGAGATGCATAATAAAATCCGTCATTTTTCTCTGCAGTATGAACTTTGTAACACTAGCAAACCTCTTGGTACCAACCCTGTGAACGTCTGGACCACGCACGGGAGTTCTCTAGAGCCTGTAAAAGGGTTAGTGGCTTTGTACTGAGGGTGGAGAAATTCCTGCCACTAAACTCCATATCTCAATAAAGAACAGATCTCAGCTTCCGCTTCCAATTTTCCAGTTTGCTGCTAGTGGGGTATAGAGTGGTTAATTCAATCTCAAGTAGATGTCAGTCAGTTATATTCTTTCTACATGTCAGAGGAGCCAATAACCCACTTAATTGTTTGACTCTGCCATTGCTTAAAGAAACAGGAATGTAAGTGTTGCAGTCTTTCTCCCCTGACCCCAAATGGTGCAGAGGTTCCCCCAGCTAACAGCATGAGTGGCGGTTAGCACTCGGCACCTCTGGACGCAAGCCCCTTCTTGGCTTTTCCTCGAGCAAATAGGAATGAGTAATGGTTGTAGGGTTTGGTCTCCTGTGAGTAACTAAACTAACTCTCCCAAGTGGTGACGGTAGAGTGACCATCTGGTGATTTTCTCATAGCTGTGCTGTGACCCTGACGGGAGGTCTCCTAGGGAAATACCGAGGGATGCTGTCATGTGGATGGCTCTTCCAGGAGTGGTGTTTGAAACCTGGAGAGTGGCTCTGTTGTTTACAGGTTGACTAGCCGGTACTGCCCTGCTCTAGGCAGCCTGTGCCTCAGCTTTCTGCCCAGAGAAACCCGCCCGGTGACAGCCCTGAAGAGGGTTGGGCAAACACATTCCGCTAGGAGGGGAT